ATTAATGTACAAACAACAAAACAAAAATCAAAAAAAGGCCGCGCAACAAAAGCCCAAACAAAATTAAAAAAAAAAAAAAAAAAAAAAAAAAAAAAAGAAATACAAAGTAAATAATAAAATATATACAAATGAAAGAAATACACTAAGAATAAAGATTAACATTGAGAAAAGAGTTAAGAGTATCGTAATCAAAGCAAACAAATATATTACCAGTCTTATTATTAGTAATAAAAATAATCCTTGAAGAAGGAATATAAAAAAAGAAATATTGTTTATGGTAATCTTTAACTTTGAAAATATTTAAAAATTTAGATGGATGGTCCAGAAAGAAACCTTGTAAAGATAAAAAATTATTGTGCTGAGATCTTATTGGTAATAGCAAAGATATCTTAATCTAATTCATCAAAAAAGCTAGGAAGTTCTGAAATCTCAGGACCCAAAGAACTTTTAAGTTCAGTAATGATATCTTTAAATAATTCTAGAGAATTCTCAGGAATAAGAAAAGAATCTTGAGATGGTGAAGTATTTTCTAAAGACATATAGTGATAATTCTTATTGTAAAAATTATGATATTGGAGAACAGCAGTATGAGAAGCAACTGCAGGAATAATAACTTTAGAAATAAGATTTGAAAGCTAAGTAAGAGTACTGTTAAGTGTACTGATTGTATCAAAAAGACTTTTATTTTAATCTTGAAGAGTTTTAACCTCTTGAATAAGAATCTTATTAATAGTGTAAGGATCAATAGGTTTATTAGAAGATTTAAAGGAAGATTTATCCTTAGGCATTTTCTAATGAAGAAAAGAAAAAAAACCTAATAAATTTATAAATGATAAGGACCAATAAAATTAATGTGAAACAGAATGACATAAAAGAACTGTGATACCTGTAAATTATCCAATATTACCAAAAAAGATATATGTGGATTATAAACAATAAACAAATAACATGAAAATCAAAACTTGTCGATAAGCAAGAAAATAATTTTAATATTAAGATTATAAGAAAGACTACAGAAAGGAATCAATTAAAATACAAAAGAAAGAAAAGGAATAAGATGGAAAAGGTAAACAAATAAGTCATTCATCTGTAAGATCAATAATTTCTGGATAATAATTATTAATTAAATGATTTGAAGAACTAAAGATAGAAGATTCTAAAGGAGCCATGTAAACAATTGAAGGATTTGAATAAATAGATTCTGGAGAAGTGATATAAACAATAGGATCATGATAAAAAAAAAACTCTCACCTGTTCACCACTGATTTCTTGAAAATTTCCTTATATGGTAATTTTCTTGAAAGAAGCGTTT